TTCACAAGTCCCATGCTGTGCCAATGACAGTGCTGTTTACACCTGTTGAACCAGCAGCTGCCGACTACAAATTTATCATCCTTCTCGGTATTTCTAGATTTTCAATTAAGCCTTTAAAAAATAAGTTTCGCTTCGTTGCATACGGTATTTTGATCTATAGAGCAAACCTTTACTCACGCAAAACTTGATTATCACTACAAATAATTCGTTAAATCTCTATTTCATAAACAAACCCATTACATTTTCGAATAACTATTAAATTGAGTGATCGAGCACTTTTCACCTGTGAGAAAATCCGCTGTTTATCACTTAGTATAATCCTGACAATGACTTGAGCACGGCGCATTTTCAAAATCACATCGCAGGCTTTTAATCCGCCTTTGGAAAGGTTAATTTTAAGTCTGATCGCTAGTCAGCGTTTCTTCTTTTCTTAGTAGAAGACTATGACGATGGTTGGTTTCTTTTAGAAGACAAAATGAGTTAAATTGGAAACCGCTAAAATTTACTGTCAGTGACAATACGGCGCAGTCGATTGGGCTTGAACCATTTTGGCACGGATCGATAGTCGCTGTCAACCTGCAGTCCTGTGACCCGTTTGAATCAATATAACTGAACTGTGGTCATTTCGATAAACTGTTACATCTGACCTTTCGTGAGCACAGTACGCAACTTCTGTCAAGCTACTGAATTACTAAGATTTCTCTTTTTATTTTCCGATTTAATTTTTCTAACTGCGAGAATTTATTACTTTAGCGCGGGTCGTGCGTTCACGAGTTTGACTGTATATATCAGCAAACGGTTATTATTTACATATTTATGAATCGCTCTGTGTGTACAACACCGTCTGCCAAAAAAGTTAATTTCAAGAACCTGTTTTGTGACGACGGGAACTTATTTAATTTGCACAACTTTACTTCACTAAATTAACCACTATGTTAAAATTGTGTTAAGCCTAACTCTATGATCTTTTTGAGAATACTATCAGACTGCATACAAATTGAAAGTACAGTATTAATCCACTGGCAAATTTATGAATTTCCTATATTTGTTTCATGTCATGGTTCCATATTTATCCGAATCAGCCAATTCAACGAAATTTATATTAGCGCGACAATACGACGAAAACACACTCTACACTACAAAAACTCAGCGCAGACGCACTGACTGCCCTGTCATGAGTGAGCGCAGGTGGGGGAAACATGGAAATACTCGAGAACATTCGTACGTACTCGTTCTTCGTGCAGGTTCGACACATAAATGCCGTTTAATAAAAATTTTTGTTCATTTATCATTTAAAATATACAGACGATAGTCGAGGTAACGTAACGGTACTCGGATTGTTACTATAGTAGCAGTAGCATTAAAAATAGCAGTAGCAGTAGGAGTAAAAATGAAAACGATAGCAAGCCAAAAAAACCATGTCAAAATATTTGACTAACATGAAACTTCAGAACAGTAAAATTGCGTTGCGTTATCGAAGTTAAGTATTTTATTTTACTAGAAAGTACTAATACAATACGAATTTTTAATATACAATTGTGCCCTCACAAAATCTGTTGTTTTGCGGCGCCCTTGTATTACAAAGAGTTTTGAACTGTGTGATTTGCATTATGCTCTTCGAAATATTTATCTTTTGCATTTTGCTTAGCTCAAGTTGTTACTAATTTCAATTACGATATTGTAACCAATTTATCCTGATCTTGAAATATTTCATACCATCGCTTCAACTTTGTAATTACCAGTGTTGTTAAGTGCTACCATATACAGGCCAAGAGCAAGATATTTAGAATCTCGACCTTGAATACGCGCAGCTCTGTGCCATGGTCGAAAACTTAGTCATTCCTGAGCTTGTTGGTGACTGCTAATGCTAGCTCAGTGTCCCTTAACTTCGTTTTTTGCTAGTTCATCTGCAGCATTTACGAATTACGGCGTATATATTCCGGTGCCTTTTCAAGAACTCCACTGGTGTCAAGCTGCTGCTTCAGCTTCTAACCATTTCCATCTACTTTGTCTTTTTGAACTGATGAAGAGACATCTCAGGACACCTTCATCTCAGAGTTCGAAAAAATAATACCAAAGCTTCGAAGTTTGGCAGCAACTGGACATTATCCATAAGCAAGGGAGTCTACCTTTCATGATCAACTCTTGCGGCAGTTGTAGCACCGCTCTTTTGTAGTGGATGCAGTACTTAGTCAAAGAACACTGCAAAAAGCAGAGATTTCACTTTCTGTGTCCATTTCAAACTTTGTACGAAAGAATTTGTTCAGCCTGCCGTCAATTCGGACCGCGCTTCTGGAGAACCCATGAATTTCTCTGATAATGCGAATGTCTGGTAGGATTCTTCACCGTTTACAAATTTTCCACAGGGCACCACTCCAGATGGAATTAAGAGAGTTGGTAAATTGAACGAAAATAACTAATCACTTGCATCCCCATTTCCTTTTCTTTGTCATAAGTTGTCCATGTGAATATTGATCCAAGCACCATCTTTCTGTACTGAAACCAGACTGTTTTTAACATAAAATCTAATGATATTGCATACTCCTGCTTCGGTTATAAGCAGGAACCTTAAGGACGAACGGACAGGAGTCTAATACCACGGTAGCTCTTCAGATCAGCATAACAACCTTTCTTAAACATCGGAACCACATCTATAGTTCGATCGGATCCTGTTTCTGCCACACAAACTTAAAGCTACTAATGATAGTACTTCATCTTTATCAGACTCATTAATCAGCTCTGGATGAATATCTTTAATGCTTGCAGTTCTGCAGCTCTTTAATTGGCTTAATGCATAGTAATTTCTTCAAAGGCAGGAGACTGCTGTCGCTATTCATCTCTGTCAGGAATAAAATCATAGACCGAACTGTTTCACAATCACAAGCGTTAACCACCAATTTGCAATATCCATTGTCTAACATTCTGTACGATCTGAAACTGTCATTCCATTTTTTAACTGCTGTTAGTCGAATCTTCTTGATGTTGAGGAAGAACAGAATTTCCCTGAACAAGGCACTAGTATTTTTTCGTGTCTTCCATTATTTCTGCCTCCTACTTCTAGAAGGATTCTTTATCTTTCCGTAGGTCTTTACTATATGTGAATTTCTGTTGACCAAACTCGGGTATTGTGCTTTTTCCCCACAACCGTGAAATTTTCAGACATATCAGAGTGCGTGCAATAACTGCTGTCCAGTTGCCAATATTGCCCCTTTGCATATTCCATCCATCCTTTACAGATATGCCATTTAAATGTTAAATAAGTTAAAAAAATTAAGTGCAAACTGAAAAAAAGATACAAATTTTCATTATTTTTTATTGCAAAATGCATAAATCATAAGCGAGGCAAATTCAGTGTATTACAGGTATATGCGTTTAAATAGGTATATGCGTTTAAACAGGTATATGCATTTAAATTCTTTTCTTCCGCATACACAAGCAAAATAGGTTTTCGATATAAAATTAAAGTAAATCAAATTTTTAACTGTAAAATAAATGAGCAAATTTTTTTAAAAGGAATAGACTGACGACAGTAAATTTCTAGCTAATGTGCATATTACTATTCAACAGCTAAAGAGAATTTTCCATTCTGATTCCTATACAGCGCTAGTATGCGCGAGGTTTCGGTTTTGTAAAGCTTGTTACAAAGACAGGTTCTAAGCGGTAAAGCACCGATATCAAAATGGCAATCAACAATTGTCCGTTTTGGCGATTCTTGACTGTTTGCAGTTCTCGCGCAGTACGGAGCAGAATTTATTTGTTGCGTTGCTTACCTCAAACTGCGTGGTGGCAATCACTTTATCTTTGCCGTCCGGTCCGCGGTAGACGCTGCGGTAAAAGCCGCGCATTTTGTCGTTCAGCGTTCCCTTGAACTTCAGCGACACTACGGCCGAACACTGGTCGATTTCGACCGGAAGATCGATCGTGGCCGTCTCCCATTTCGAATCGTAGGCTACCGGAAGATTGTTCAGTTCTAAAATGGACATTTCAGTAACGCGCGCAATTTCAGCGATACCGTCTCTGGCATCATTAGAACCTTGCGCTTTGTCCCCGGTGATGTTCAGGCTGGCGTCGCATATGTCGATCTCAGAACAGTTCAGTTTCAGAAACTTGGTCTTCTCGAGAACCTGAACGAAAGTCATGTTCAACAAAGCGGCAACAGCAGCGTACGACGCAGACGGAAAAAATTAAAAACATGCTCACTGGCAACGCGTTATTCGGTCTCAAGAAAGCAAACGAATCCGAGCATTCCGCGGCATTCACCGCCACTTCGGTTGGGTTTTCACACTCACGCGCACACACACACACACACACACACAAATACACACACACACACAAATACACACACAC